TGCGCGCGGCTCATGGTGCTGCTGCCGTGCGGTGCCTGTCGTGTGCGCGCTGCTGCCTCAACTGCTGCCGTGTGGTGCGGGTGCTCATAACAGTTTCATGCTAGTTAATTATCTCTTCGTTCCTGTAATCTTGGGATTGTGATCTATCGGCATGGTTATTATTTGATATGCTAAAGGTTCTAATATTGGTTCTTGAAATCCCACGACTATTTCAGCTGTGTTCATCTCCCCACTCCCACTTACATTAAGCAATGACTATGAAGGATAGAGATACACTGTGATTGTTTTTCCTTCTAAAATTGGAATTAAAAGAAGTGCGCATATAGGGAAATAATAAATGCCTGGAAAGAGAAAACTATGGAAGCAAAAGGCCTTCTTATGAGCAGGCAAAGAAATGTCCCTTTAGATGTCAGGGACACATGGGGAAGCTACCATGTTATGAGCTCTGCAAAGGGTCCTTACCATGTAGCCAGTGTCGATCTCTAAGAGCATAAAAACATAAACAACCCATAAGGTGTCTCTTAAGCAGTGCAGTAGATCAGACGATTTGCTACTAATTCTGCATTCCCATAGTACCCTGGCACATGAATCACCTCCATAACTTCTTCCATTGGGTTCTAAAATAACTGTGGCAAGCCTTAGCTCTCTGGCAATCTGGCTGATCCCAAGAGCTCTATAGCTATACTCCAGGAACGCTGTTGTGAACATGGATCCTTGTGCTGCATCAGAAAGCCAGTAGCCATTCTGACAATAAGTTTAATGCCACTTTTACATATTTTGACATCAATGAGGCAGGACTGTTAATTTTGACAAAATTAGTGGGTGGCAAGGCCCATCTACTCTCTGAGCTATGATCATGAATAGCTCTACATGTTTGATGCTGATCAGCTGATCTATGCACAAGTAACATCTCCCTTAATGGTAGGTTGCTGCATTGAATGATGTCCTCTGGGGTTCTGGATTTCTGATTGAAAATAGTTCAATCCCAGATATCCCATAATTCTAATAAAAATCAACCAGAGTTCTATGGCTTTTATGGCTCTTTGTCTTATTGTCTGTTAGTGGTGGTTGTTATGAAACCTGTCCATTCTTCTGCTTTTGAGCTTGCTTGTGTGCTTTTGCTTCCAAGCCAGAAATACAAAGGCACATGGGCACTGGAAAGTAAGTTAGTGTGGTTTTCCACACTGTGTTTACAATGAGGTTAGTGCCATGACATTTGTGATAGATGCTTGCAGAGAATATTAATAATAGGAAGGATACCCAAGTATAATCTCAGTAGAAATTCAGGCTTCAGCTGAATACTAGCTCTGCTCGAGTACCATCTTTTCCTTGTTAGAGGATAGAACAAGTTCTGTGGTGCTCAGAAGTAATGAACTAATGGTGCAATGTTTTTTGCATTGAAGTGATTTTCATTAGTCATGTGAGGCCAGGAACAACCACATCAAAAGTTACTGCATTACTAATTTACTATTGTGTTGACCTGATTGCCCCGTATCTCTCTCTCTCTCTCTCTTGTGTGTGTGCAGCTTCTGTCTTATTAGTCCCATCAAACCATTCACTTGCTATGGATCCCTCTTTTGGACCATGGGTTCATACATGTAGAAAAAGGTTTCAATCCCATGATAATCATCCTCATTACAAAATTGATAAGAGCCAAATGATGAGTTTTCTTCTGAGAAGAAGGGGTGTCTCTTTCAGAAGATTCTGAAGTTCAACCTTGGAGATATCTTCTTTATATCTTCTTTAATGAGCATGATAGGTGATCCTTAACTTTCCCATTAATGAATTTTGATGTAATCGTTTCTGGTTACATATCATTTTTTTCGTGATGTATCAATTTTTTGGCTAAGTACCTCATCATTTGATCTACTCCCAGGTGGCCTGTGGCTCAGTGGATGAAGTGGAGCTCCCTGGTGGCGAACTGCATGGTGGCGAACTACATGGTGGCGAACTACATGGTGGCGAACTACCTTGATGAGCTGCTTGGTGACGAGCTCCCTAGTGTAGTGCAATCCGACTGCTCCCTGCATGAGATGATCTGCTCCTCTTTGTAGACGGCGGGAGCTGATGAACCTGCGAGAACTGAATCAGAGAACCTGGGGGTGTTGACCCGGCGGGGTCATTTCGATGGCTAAGTTAGCTCTCTGATAGTAGAGAGCTTGAAGATGAAATTAGAGAATGAGAGAGATAGAGAGCAGGGGTTACCATCTTTTTTCATCTCTCTCTCCCCTCTGGGGGGTGAGGTCTTTATATACTGGAGTTCTCGTGGGTTAGTGTAACGGTCACTGGATCCCTGTTGTGATGGGACCTGTTGCGTGTTAGGTGGGTGAAAAGCCTTCAAACGGTAAGACTCGTCACATTCCGTCAGAACCGGGGTGCGGTGGTGAGCTCCTTGAGGTTGTCAGGCTGGCGCCTGTGTCAGGCGGCTAGGTCGGCGCCTGGGCTAGGTTGTCAGGTCGACGCCTGTGTTAGGTGGCTAGGTCGACGTCTAGGCCAGGTTGTCAGGTCGGCGCCTGTGTCAGGCGGCGGGTCGGTGTCTGGGCCAAGTTGTCAGGTTGGCGCCTGTGTCAGGCCACCAGGTCGGTGCCTGGCCCAGGCTGCCAGCTCGTGCTAGGGCTAGCTCGCGCCAGGGCCAGGCTGCCAGCTCGTGCCAGGGCCAGCTCGCGCCTGTGCTAGGCTAAGGGTGAGCTACCTGTGGCGAGCTGCCTTATGGCGAGCTGCCTGTGGCTGGCTCGAGCTGTCTAGTTGTCAAGAGGCTGCACATTTGGCATGAGGTGCTAGGTGTCACAATTTCACTGGAGGGCCAAATCCGCCCTCATCATTTGCCCCCCACTCCCGAGCCGAGAGTAACTCGGCGAAGGGAGTAGATTTCTCCTTTTGGCCCGTAAGTTGACAAGCTCATAAGTGCTGATTCAATTTCTTAGGCTCTGGGAGCTACCTGTAAGTGGCGAGCTGCCTGTAAGGTGAGGATGTCTTTGCCAGTTCAGTACTGTAGCCCTTAGGCTCTGGGGGGAACTTATAGTCCATTTTTGTTGATTTTGCCTATGCCGACAAGGCGACTGGGTCTTGAGCAGTAGTATGGCCCGTAGGCTTTTGGGAGCGACTCGTAGTCCACTCTTCTCGACTTTTCCCATGCCGAAGAGGTGACTAGGTCTTTCAGCAGTAATGTTGCCCATGCCGTAGAGGCGACTGGGTCTTTCAGCAGTAATGTTGCCCATGTCGTGGAGGCGACTGGGTTTTTCAGCAGTAATGTTGCCCATGCCGTAGAGGCGACTGGGTTTTTCAGCAGTAATGTGGCCCGTAGGCTTTGGGAGCGACTCGTAGTCCACTCCTGAACTTTGCCCATGCCGTAGAGGCGACTGGGTCTTTCAGCAGTAATGTGGCCCGTAGGCTTTGGGACCGACTCATAGTTCACTCCTGAACTTTGCCCATGCCGTAGAGGCGATTGGGTTTTTCAGCAGTAATGTGGCCTGTAGGCTTTGGGAGCGACTCGTAGTCCACTCCTGAACTTTGCCCATGCCGTAGAGGCGACTGGGTCTTTCAGCAGTAATGTGGCCCGTAGGCTTTGGGACCGACTCATAGTTCACTCCTGAACTTTGCCCATGCCGTAGAGGCGATTGGGTTTTTCAGCAGTAATGTGGCCTGTAGGCTTTGGGAGCGACTCGTAGTCCACTCCTGAACTTTGCCCATGCCGTAGAGGCGACTGGGTCTTTCAGCAGTAATGTGGCCCGTAGGCTTTGGGAGCGACTCGTGGTCCACTCCCGAACTTTGCCCATGCCGTAGAGGCGACTGGGTCTTTCAGTAGTAATGTGGCCCGTAGGCTTTGGGAGCGACTCGTAGTCCACTCCCGAACTTTGCCCATGCCGTAGAGGCGACTGGGTTTTTCAGTAGTAATGCGGCCCATAGGCTTTGGGAGCGACTCATAGTCCACTCCTGAACTTTGCCCATGCCGTAGAGGCCACTGGGTCTGTCAGCAGTAATGTGGCCCGTAGACTTTGGGAGCGACTAGTAATCCACTCCTGAACTTTGCCCATGCCGTAGAGGCGACTGGGTTTTTCAGCAGTAATGTGGCCCTTAAGCTTTGGGAGCGACTCATGGTCCACTCCTAAACTTTGCCCATGCCGAAGAGGCGACTAGGTCTTGTTGTAGCTCCGAGGTCTCTACCTATGAGGTGCCGAGCTGGATTGATGAGCTTTGTTGCCCTTTAGAGACCTGCAAGGAACTAAGTGTCAGAGGACCCAGGGTGGCTAACCCAGTGAGGTCACTCTGACGGCTAAGTTAGTACTCTCATAGTAGACTGCGAGCTAGAAATCACAATTTGAGAGTTAGAGCTTGCTTACTTGTTTCTGAGGCTGGTGCCTTTTCAGTTCGTAAGTTCGCGCCTGGGCCAGGCTGCCATGTCGGCGCCCATGTCAGGTCGCGCCAGGTCGGCGAACGTGCCAGGCCGCGCAGGCTGCCGGGTGGGCGCCTTAGAGCTATGATTGCACTGCATCCGCCTCGTAATGTGAGGGCTTTAGTTTCTTTGAGTTCATAAGAAATGGAAACTATAAAGCGAGAGCTTCGGATCCTAAAAAGGTGAGGACTTAGCTTTTTGAGAGAAGAGGACTTAGCTTTTTATAAGATAAGAACTTAGCTTTTTGTTGGATGAGAACTTAGCTTTTTGTAGCGTGTTCCCACAGACGGCCTGTGGCTCAGAGGATGAAGTGAAGCTCCCTGGTGGCGAATTGCCTGGTGGTGAGCTACATGGTGGCGAACCGCTTGGTGATGAGCTACCTTGATGAGCTGCTAGGTGGTGAGCTGCCTTGGTGACGAGCTCCCTAGTGTAGTGCAACCCGACTGCTCCCTGCATGAGATGATCTGCTCCTCTTTGTAGACGACGGGAGCTGAGGAACTTGCGAGAACTGAATCAGAGAACCCGGGGGTGTTGGTGGCGAACTGCCTGGTGATGAGCTACCTTGATGAGCTGCTGGGTGGTGAGCTGCCTTGGTGACGAGCTCCCTAGTGTAGTGCAACCCGACTGCTCCCTGCATGAGATGATCTGCTTCTCTTTGTAAACGGCGGGAGCTGAGGAACCTGCGAGAACTGAATCAGAGAACCCGGGGGTGTTGACCCAGCAGGGTCACTCCGATGGCAAAGTTAGCGCTCTGATAGTAGAGAGCTTGAAGATGATATTAGAGAATGAGAGAGCTAGAGAGCAGGGGTTACCATCTTTTTTCATCCCTCTCTCCCCTCTGGGGGGTGAGGTCTTTATATACTGGAGTCCTCGTGGGTTAGTGTAACGGTCACTGGATCCCTGCTGTGATGGAACCTGTTGCGTGTTAGGTGGGTGAAAAGCCTTCAAACGGTAAGACTCGTCACATCCCGTCAGAACCGGGGTACGGTGGTGAGCTCCTCGGGGTTGTCAGGCTGGCGCCTGCGTCAGGCGGCCAGGTTGGCGCTTGGGCCAGGTTGTCAAGTCAGCGCCTTTGTCAGGCGGCTAGGTCGACGTCTAGGCCAGGTTGTCAAGTCGGCGCCTGTGTCAGGTGGCGGGTCGGTGTCTGGGCCAGGTTGTCAGGTTGGTGCCTGTGTTAGGCCACCAGGTCGGTGCTTGGGCCAGGCTGCTAGCTCGTGCCTGTGCCACGCTAAGGGTGAGTTGCCTGTGGCGGGCTGCCTATGGCGAGCTGCAGGCACAAGCTGCCTATGGCGAGCTGCAGGCACAAGCTGCCTATGGCGAGCTGCAGGCACAAGCTGCCTATGGCGAGCTACCTGTGGCGAGCTGCCTGTGGCTGGCTCGAGCTGTCTAGTTGTCAAGAGGCTGCACATTTGGCATGAGGTGCCAGGTGTCACAATTTCACTGGAGGGCCAAATCCGCCCTCATCAAATTTCATAATCCAGCACTAGCAGTGTAAGTCAGGTTGCCTGATTTAAAGAATTTCAACTACATCATACTTGTGGCTGGGCTTGACCCATACAAAATTTGAAAATTTCTCAACCTAACCTGACCCAAGTTGCACCACTATCTAGCACAAGGTATGAGTGGTAACATTTATTTGACCATTTAGGATCTTTTGCTGGAGAGACCCTAAATAACTTCCACCAGATAAACATACAACTCAGGTTACCAATGGAAAATGATTCCACAAATCTAATAAAGCACAAATGTTTGACTTGATGACTTTCAATTAACAAGACTTGAATTTGGTGCCAAAGATCCAAAGTCAATTTTTATACCCCTGATATTCATCAGAAAAAATCTTTATACTCCTGACCAAGTAGCAACTACTTTTTCTCATTGCAACATGGCATTTGCGTTGACATGGTTTTCTATATAACAATTTGTGTAACATAAAGCATGTATTGTATTGATAATAACATAGAAAGATACCTAGCTACTTATGTGGAGGGGTTTGGGTATACCACCTATTTTTGACTTCTTCTGCAAAGCTAATAATGAATTGGTGTTCTTCAAAGGAAAATCCTGTTCCACCAGGACTTTTGATCTTCCTGTTTATTTGAATTTTGGATTCTTGCAATACCATTATGACATGGGTATATCATTTCTGTTAAGTATACAGAAAAAAAAAACTGTGGCATGAAGTGTCTTCTTTTCCACTAGAAATCACATATTGCTAGTCATCTCTCGTTAGTCACCTGCTTGATCAATTTTTCTTAGTTACCACCTCCTCCATCCCCAAAAAGAAAAACAGTGACTGATTGTAAATTTTCCATAACTATTTTTGAGAATTATATTATTAGGAACTATAAATGTTACATGCAAACTATTGAATTTTTTTAGCGGGTCCCAAGAATTTGAGGTAAAGCTTGTTAATTAGTGGAATAGCCAATCATTTCTTCTGACAGATTTTTAAATGATGTATGGAAAAGGATGGAGGAATGCGGGAGGAGCGTTTTTCTGAAAGCTTGCGGAAGAGGGTCGAACTATCTTCAATGGTGAACGAAGAAGGGATTATAGTGGTACCCACAGAGCCTCCTGCTCGAGCAGTACGTAAGAGGCATCACACTCTTACTCTTGACCATGCAGTTCTTCCACCCTTGTTTGGGGGAGGCCTTCTTTCACCTCAGTCACCTCATAATATGGCCAGCTTCCACCAAGCACTTGAACAATGCAATGAGTTTGACTCTTGTCAAGACATTACTGCCATTATTGAATGACAAGGATTTAACCATAGATTAGTAAGCTATCTTGAACTTAATGGATAGAGCACCCCAATTCATAAATTTTAGAATTCTAGTAAGGAGTGGAAGTATCTATTAGATTATAACGACTAGTGTTCTGTATAGAATCATGTAACTGTGCTAGAGTCACTGTCTACATTATCTTAGATTAAATGTATTACCAAAAAAAGATGTTCAGTTCTATGGTGTGATAACTTATTGGACAGTCAATATTCATTCCTCAGCTCTTGTGAGTCCATGTAGGAGTCATTTCTAATCCAGCCAGCCTGCAATGCTCTTGTGAGTCAATATATGTGTGTGTGTGTTTTATATTATATTATAGAGTATATATAAGTATTATTTTATGATATAGAATGTTATATATACAATATATTGAAAGTTGTGGGCCTGGAAGCCCAGCGAAGCGCAGGCACATGTAGGGCTAGGCCTAGGCTATGCCCCTTATCAAAGGGCCTATGATCATCACCCCTAATCCAATGTTCTGCATCTTCTCAAAGCACAATCTGCATCATTAAAGTATCTTCGTCTTTCTTTTTTTTTTTTTGGTTTTTTCTTGGTATTGGCATTTTATCAGTGATATTTCTTGGGTACTCGTGTAGAATGTTTTATGTTCAGTGAGGTTGATCTTTTATATCACATTCTTTTGGTTGATCAGGACACTAATGCCAGTGATACTGGTCATGTCCATGTTGGATCCCTTTAATCAAATCCCTTCTTACAATGCTCACCAGGAAAAATATTGCAAGCTGCTCAGAAAAATGGTCATTAGACTGTTTTATTTTATTTTATCTTATTTTTGGATGAACCTATTAGACTAATATGTTTCAGCAAAGATAATTCTCCTGGATGGGTCCCATCTTTTGTCTTTTACCATGTTTGGTTGCTACAGCCTACAGAGGGACTGCCTTTGGATCATTCAACAAGAAGCAATAGGTACTAGAGTCTAGGCAGGAGTCAGAGACTAAAGTTATCAGAACCTCTGGGAAGTTGAATTGAATTTACCCAATGATGCCATCGATATTGTAAAGAAAGAACTTGAGAAGTATTTTTAGAGAGCCCTAATACACTATATTTGTAGAGTATTTTGCTTTTTTATTAATATAAATGTTAGGTACTTGTCAAAAGAATACAAGTATTTACAGTACAAACCTCGCCATTGTTTCAAATAATAATACTTTTCCTATCTTTTTTTGTTATCAGAAATCATTGTATAAGTTTAATAAGTTAATAATTTAATATCTTTAAAATGAGTCGAGATGTAACCTCTCAATATTCCCTGTTACCTTTGCTAAAGTCTTTTAAGAAGCTTGGATAGTGTTGGTAGTTTTAAAAACTCTTAATTTTAACAGGTCTTGAGTTGAGTACAGTTGGGGATTAATGCTGTCTTAATTTTGCAGCTACATGTTCTAAGTAAAATTATTTTCTCAAAACTCCCTTTTACAGAATATTTAGGATAACTTTAAGGCTGTGTTTGGTTTCAAGGTAGGGGAACCTATACCTTTTCCTTGAAACCAAACAACAGCCTAAAGGAAAATTTGAGGAGCTATCAAGTGCTGGTAGAATTCTTATAAAAAGTCTATTAATATATAGCCCGAGTATCTGGGGTTTTCGGAGGGGTAGACTTGATACAGAGTTAACCTTTGACATTCTTATTACACATCCATTGTCAGCATGATATTTTATCATTACAATTTACACCAAGCAATGGCCTCTTGCTGGCTGAATTCTTATATTAAACTAAAACTATGGCCCATTTAGATGTATAAATTATATGGATAGTTGAATGAACTCTACATGGAATCATTTCTTGGATATATCCTTGCTCCAATTTGTTGTCTATTCTTCTTAGATCATCTATTATGTCTATTATCATCCCCTTCTTTCTTCTGCTTTTGCTATTACTAGTTGTATTCAATTTAGGTTCTGCACATAAGATAATATCCTTGCTCCAATTTAGGTTCTGCACAAACACCATTGTGTTCAATTCATTATAGTGTTATTGCGCATTTTCACACATAAGATAATATTTGTTTTGTTACTGCTACACCTTCTTCCCTTTGCACAGCTTTATGGCCCACCCCTTGATCAAATCAGATTGCACAGTTCAAATTGCAGTCATTTTCTTGACCAGACTCTTAACATCCATTCTACCATTAAACCAGCTCCATAATCCCTGTTTTGAACATTTCCACTTACCTGTCCACCACCATAGGGTCTCTATCCAAGATGTTGGGTCCATCCTATACGTACCCGATTAAGAACCAGGTTCATCTAAATTGGGTCCCAATTTGGTAACACTTGTACTTTTAAAAACACAATAATCCATAAGTCAAGATACTTTTGATCCTTCAAGCAGAAAGCCTAAAAATGGGGCGTTTGTTTTTGGGCTTTGAAAGCACAAACCTTGAGGCTTATTCGAACGGAACTTCAGTTTATTAGTCACATAAAAAGCCATATACTAACTACAAACTCTGGATTATACATTGAAGTCAGAAGAGAGCCAATGTGGTAATGGTGAGAACAGGGAAAGGGTGTATGCTTTTGGACCTAATCAACTCTTAACTGTATACAATAGGGCCCATGTGGCTTATGCAGACTTGGCCTAGACCCAACCAGTTGATGCCCCTATGCATTCAATAACCACAGAATACCATGCAATCAATATATGGTAGAGGCAAATGCTGAAAAACTAGAGAAATTAAGAAGTGATTTTTTTTTTCTGAAAAAATCAAAGACTAATGGAATGTTCATGTATTTGATGGAAGATCCAGGAGTTCCTTCACTCTCAAATGGGATACAACAAGGAAACGATAGAATTCCAGTGGAGGATGGAATATGAACTTTCTTGATAGTTGTTTGAGATAGGGAGGAACATGAAACAATTTACATGCTATCCTTGGGCTGAGGGGAGACCATGATCGTTTGCCATAGAAAGATCAGGGTAATCACTAAAGAGGAATCGCCAATGACTGGTGTTTTCTCTTTCTTTATTTTTTTTTTGGATATTACACACTACACATTATAGGGGAAATGGGGGTCAGGCAGAGTAGGGTGCACGTGAGACTTCCTGACCATATCACAGAAAGTAGGGATGACAAATTTCCCCATCCTCGATGGGGACCCGACTTCCTCGACCCAATTTTGGCGGGGCGGGGATGGGGATTGAGGTCCCCGCCCCAATTATATATATGTTATTTATATTTAATGTATAATATTATATTATTACCCTTTATATTATATATATATATATATATATATATATATATATATATATATATAAAAAAATATATTTCAGAGTCGGGGTTGGGGACGGGGAATATGA